GAAGAAGCTTTTTATAAGGGTAATGAGGCAGGGGGACAGGTTGCTCAGAAACGTGGTGCAAGCCCCATCCCTGGAGTCATTCAAGGTTGGGCTGAGCTATGCTCTGTGCTCCCTGATCTAGCTGTAGGCATTCCTGTTCATGGCAGGAGGACGGAACAACAAAAAGAGACAATAACACCTTCTACTAGGACAGATACATGCTTATAAATACATTCAGGAAGATTTAGTTTAGAAAGCAATATAGAAAATAGCTCAGCCTTTCCAAAGTCTACCAATGTCTTGAAAAGAACACCACTTCTGAAGAGAGTTTGCTCCCTCAGCTGCTAGCCCTGAGGATCAGGATAAGGAGGGGTGGACCCCAGGTCCATCCTTTTTCATCCCTCAGGTGTACTGCTTGCTCTTGAGCTCCTTGTGTTAGCCATGCTCTTTCACCTGGTGTTCAACCATGGTTCAGGCTGTGACCTCGCAATTCCCATATAAGAGGAGATGGAAGATGGACTAGATGACCTTTAGAGGTCTCTTGCAACTCAAATGATTCTGTGATTCCATGAAAGCCACTATTAGCACAAGAACAACTGCATGGAGCCAGACATAATGCAGTACTAGAAAAAGCAGTGGGGGGAGTAATCTATTGCCATTTTCCAAACTTAAAGAAAACTTATGAAACCTCAGTCATTTGTAAAAGCGATAGAGAAACATGTTCCCATGATGGCAGGCTTTAAATTAATGTATTCACAGTATATCACCTCTATCCTGAGGCTATTCAGACACAGCACAGAAGGTAGACAAAATGCCCAGTGTAGTCAGTGTTCAGAAACCAGGCAGTCATGCAAGTATGGGTGCTATTTCATAATGTCTTCAAATCAATTCAAGAGGAACAGCACCAACAAAAAAAAATAATGCTGCAAAGCTGATTATTGCTGGCTGCAGCTGGCTCTGACAAGTCAGGTGGGAGACAGTGTTTGCTTTTAATTGAATACTCAGAGCAAGGAGATTGAAATATTCTTATATTCAAAAAGTGCCACTAATCAAACACCACCTGCTGTTCTCACATTGTGTTCACATGTGTGCTAAGCAAGCACAATGGCTGTCACTTTGAATTACTGGGTTTGAACATCTTCATACACGAAATACCGAACAAGGAAAAGTGGTGTCAGATCCCTGTTTCATCAGCCACCAGCCTGATACTTCAGTATTTACTCCAAACTCTGCATCTTCGTGCTTCCTCATCTGTTGTATGTACAATGCAAACATTTCTATCCTTTCTACCTTTTGTATACATGTACACAATTTCTGAAGCATCCAGATCACTGAGACACACATTTCAAAGACACTTGATTAATTTCTGAACTTTTCCTGATTCCTATGTCTCTAGCCCAAAGACAAAGCCTGATCATTTCTAGCAGTTAAATTCACTGTTCCTTGGATACTGAGATATGTACAATCACAGACACAGACCGTGACCGTTGAAGCTCATGTTCTGTCAAACTCAGATCTAAATAACATCTTTTCCTTTCCTGTCCAGCACATTTCCCCTTTTTTTGTGTGTGTGTGTGTGTGTTAACAGAAAACTGTGCTTCACTAGCCAGCCTCCAGTTTCTGTGGAACAAAGACTGAAGTTTTACTTTTTTATTTAAAGACAGTCAGCAGGGAGCAAGAAAAACATCCCCTAACAAGGAAAGTCATCTCTTGGTGCTCACAAATGGATTTACTTTATTTTTCAGAAGAAGAGAGCAATGTCAGACAAGTCAATGTCAGTATTAGACAAGAACTACCTCCTGTTGGTTAAGCACATCTTAAACACCTTGAAAGGAGATGTGAAACACAGTTGACAACACCCTTCTCTCACTCAGCGCTCATCCGGTAACTTCTATAGCAGGTGTCAAGTAGCCTCTAGTTCTTATATTCTGCATGTCTATATTTCATACTCTTTCTGAGAGCAAAGCTGTAAGTATGGGCTCCCCTTTTCACTAAAAGCAGGAGCCTGCTTCCCTCCCACTCGAACACTAGCACCTGCCTCTGGAAATCAGCAGCACCTTCTCAAACTCAGGATCTATCATGCTGAGATCAGGGTCTACGCTGAAGTTAATGAGTCTGAGAGACAGCCATCACGTGGAACAAAGCAGGTGGAAAACTTCTCTTCTGCAGTTCTGGGAAAATCCATCGCCAGCTCCATATTTCACACCTGAGATTTATGTGCACAAAAAGCCAGTCTCTTAGTACCAGAACAAACCCTTTGTACCTGATGGAAGCTTAAAATTCAAATCATGTACTTTCATGCCACCTTCTATTTCTAGTTATAGATTAAACAGAACTGCAGGGTGTGGAGAACACAAACCAATACTGCAGAAAAGCAGTATCAGGTCAAGACACATGCTTTGAAGAAAATACTTGGGAAATGAAAATTAATGTCCACAGCAAGCCTACCTCAGGAATGGCAGATTTCAGCTAAATTTTTTAGTACAAAAAATATGCCAGTGAAATAATCTTCAAGCCTTTATTGAGCAGAACTAACCTAGCTGTACTCCAGTGAGTCCCCACAGTGCACTGACCAGCCATGAAGCTGACAAACTTTATTACAAAAGCTATGCTTATCCAGAGGGATCTGGCATCTTTTCAAAGGCTGCTCGAATTTAAATCTAAGGAAAAAGTCTTTTACAGTCATGGTGGTGAGGCACTGCAGCAGGTTGCCCAGGAGGTGGTGGATGTCCCATCCCTGTAGGCACTCAAGGCCATTTTGGATGGGGCCCTGGGCAGCCTGAGCTGGGCAGTGGCTGCCCTGCCCATGGCAGAGGGTTGGAACTGACTGGGCTTCGAGGCTCAGACCATTCTGTGACTCTGTGATGTGGTCACTGTGGGAAGCTTGTCTCTCACTGCCTGGCAGAGCCAGACGGAGTACTTTGGCAACACTGCAGATGTGTTTAAGAAAAAGTGTATACATAACTGAGAGGAGAAAGTAAGTCAAAACTTACATCTGTAGGCCATGTAAGCACAAGTACACAGCCTCTTCTACCCTACAGAGAACAGCAGCATGCTGATGTACGACAGTGTCTCCACTGTACTCTAAAGGTGAATGAAGTATTTTAGAAGGTATGGAGACTGAACATTTTCCATAAATCAGGAACTGATTACAAAATGTAAAATTAGTATCTAAGTATTTCTCAAGTACTTCTGTTTGCTTTCCCCAATCTCAGAACAAACTTTAATGCAGGAGAATGGAGGGTACTGGCCCCTTGTCCTTTACGACAACTGAAAAAAAGCATCAAAAAGCAATTCTCTTAATTGCCTAATTCTGGTACAAACAGCCAAAGCTCACAGCTAAAAGCAGGCAGACGTTGTGCTGAAAGACAGGAGCAAAAGAATCAAGAACAAAAACAGATTACTCTTTTCTCTCTCACCATTTGTATATCTTGCTGTATGACCAGGAAAACTGAATCAGATTCCAACAGCAGGGCAGTAAGCTTAGCCTCTTACAATAACCTATTTTTTTAATTCTCTTTCCCTTTGCCAGTCCTACAGAGCAAGGAAAGTCAGGATCTTCCTTAAAACACTTTGATCAGCCAACAAACACAGATGTGTCAGAAGAAAGGCAGGAGTGGGAAGAAAGAAGAGGCAGACAAAAAAAAACCAAAACCAACATCTGGGGTTACAGTATACAGTTAAGGTGAAAGCTATATTTACTATTTCATATTTGAAACATTTCAATTCTTTAAAATCATTTAAAACCTTTTGAACTGCCTGTTTCAGAAACGCCAATTAGCTGCAGTCTGATAAAGCAGACCAAAGCCTTTACCTGAACTTTGATTATTTAATGTTGCAGAGCAACAGCAGCCTGTTAATACTTGTGGTTCTTCTTAGCTCCTTAATCCTGTTAATGCTGCTTCTCTTCTCCTACTCCTCAACAATGAATACACTGGCCACAGTTCCCAATGGCCATATATTCTGTTCTTCACCTTTGAACTTACTTTTCTTTTGCTTCTTTGAAAAGACTGGGCAGGCAGGGGCAAAAAAAAGTACTTCTGTGTGGTTAACAACACTATGCAGACCCTTCAGCCCTCCCTTTCAGCACCTACTCCCCACTCTCAGTCCAAGTATCACTGGTCCTGATCTGCTCAGCTTCAAGCTTCTTCACCAAGTAACCTTGGAGGTCTCCCAGAAAGACACGAGAGGAGGCAAGAAAAGGGAATACTGAAGATATAGCCTTGACCTTAAAATGTGTGTAGAAATATGAAAGAATATGTAGGAGCACAGATTCTTACACATCTGTCTGTCTACAGTACAAAGACACCAAGGGGAAAGAGCCCTGCTCTTCTAACAAGCCCTCTGCTTAAATGAGAACCAGCCATGACCCTGAATGCAGAATTGAGTGTTAAAACATGAGCTGCCCCCATGTGTCAGAGGGGAGAATTTCAAAAGAATTTGAGGGAGACTGACATTCTCTATCTCATTCATTCCATCCTCTTTATATGATACATTGTGTTCTGCAACACCCGATTTTGGTCTAGGAAGGATAGATGATCCTGTCAAGATAAGGAAAATGGGAAAAGGGACGCTGAAACAGTACAAGAGTCAGAACTCTTATTTTAGTCCAAAACTACCTCCACCATTTCTCCCCCTACATCCTTCCACCAATTTAGACCTTGCCTCCCTTCTCCAGTTGTTTCATATACTTGCTAAATGCCAAGTCTCTCTCTCCTCTCTTCATTTTAATCTGAATAGCTAAAGCAACTTAGGTAATCTATGATTTTGTTGTTTTTTTTTTTTAAAAAAAAGAAGTTTTAAGGCAAAGAAAAGCACAATGAATCCACAATGCAAATTTCTGAAGAGTAATACAGGTCAATATACCAAGTTTTGAAGATTGAGAACGATCACCAATAACTGGAAAAGCAGAACAAATGCTATACTGAATAACTTCTACCATTTTTATTGTACGTTTTACCAATATTCACATTTCTACACATAATTTCTCTCAAATTTCACATTTCTACAATAATACTCACTCTTCCAAGTTCTTTATCTTCAAGTGCCAGAACCCCAGTGCTTTCTGTAAAGAGTTTTACTTTGACAACAGGCCGAGGATGAGTTGTAGTGAAATCTCCTTGAGTTCCCCATCTACAATAAATAAAATGACAGAATTTAAACAGGGCAGAGGAAATGTTTTAGTGATAGGACTGTAATCTTTCTAATAGAACACACATTAGTGCACTACTAGACTAGTTTCTTAAGCATCCAGCATTAAATATTTACATGGAATTGGCTCTTCTTTGTAATATGACAAATCACAGTTTCTGTGTATGGCATTTGTCATAAAAAATCAGCTATAAATCTTCTAATCCAAAACTCACCCAAAGAACAGAAACTGTATGTTCACAAGGGAAACCAGCCAAGTAAGTGAGCAACGAAAGTTTTTCTGTTAACTATATTATGTTCAGTACCCTGCATAAGAAAAACTTATTCAGAAAAGTATCAGGTTTTCATTTTCAAAACAGAAACCCACCCACAAACATGTTTGATTTTAGGTAAATGGACTATGCAGAAAATAAGAGATTTGAATATAGGAAAACCTGACAGTTCATGTGATGTTGCAGTTTAGTACAGGACTGCAGGAAAAAAAATGTAAACACAAAAGCAAACCTTGGAAAACTGTTGGATAAATTGTTATTTATCAGAGCAACTATAACTGCAAGATAATTGCTGCCACAAGGCTTCATAGCTTTGGAGAAGCTTAATTAGGCAGACAAACTTATAGTTGGGAATCTTATCAGCTGGTTTTACTCTGCTCCGTGCAAGTGGTACAAAAACCAGAAAGGTGTATGAATTAGATTGCAACTTCCTCTGACAAAGTAATCAGTTTTCCTACAGAGTTGCAGGGTAATCACTGAATACTGTAATTCTGACTGTTAGTAGGTGCAAACAAAATGCAAAAAGTTCAGCTCCAGTCACTCTCCTTTTGTCTCCTAGTACTCAACTTACTGAGATTATCAGAAGAAATAAAGAAAACAGGTGAGTGCACAAGTATACTCTATAAAAGTATATAGATCACACAAACTAAAATCTTACAGGACACCATTTACAAAAAAACAATATTTTATTTTCAAGGATGATTTACACGGACTCACGGTCTGTCCATTCCTGAAAAATGAACGTACACTAATAAACCTCCATGGAAGAGATCTAAAAGATAAAAGAAACTTCCAACTAACATAAGTTACAAATCCCAAGAAAAAATCTAGAAAGTAATGTGTAACAGAAACAAAAAATTCTTATTGAAAGTGTCAAGTCAAATCAAGTCCGACAGGTGGTTGAACAACAAAGGTGAGGTCCACTGAAAATTAACTGAGCATCTCACTCAGTTCTGTCTTCCTTGCTTTGCCTGGACTAGATAGATATTTGCTCTCTGTGTTCATAGTGGACAGAGCCTTACTCTCAGCCAACGTGCTAATTGAAAAATTGAAACAGGGATTCTGAAAAGAAATTACCTTCCTCAGAGAAAGAAAACTCGTTTTGTGATCTGATGATAGATGTTGTACTGGCAGGTCAGGTAATGCCTAGCGCTGCTGCTCGTCCCCGAGGCAGTCCCAGGGTTAGGTTTTATCACAATACAGAAATGAGATTTCCACGGAGAAAGCACCCTCACACAAGATGTGTCTCCCCAGAAGACGTGTCTCCCCCAAGATACCAGCATCCAGAAACAATACCCCCTTGCAATCTCAGACACCATCTAAGCATGTTGTTGCTGTACGGGCACCAAGGTATATTTGCCCCTGAACTCCCTGGACTGCTCACACTACCATGGACAGAACCACCCAAATGATTAAAGACAAATCTTTTCCTACTTTTCCTATTAGAACCCAACAAATAAACATTAAAAAAAAAAAAAAACCAAAAAAAAAAAACAACCAAAAACCAAAAAACAAAAACGCCACACAAGAACTTCTCTACAAAGATCTAGTGCTAGTATTAAATAGCAGATGGAAGTACACAAATCAGAAGAATCTCAGCTTTAATGTCAGATACAATCACTGTCCCTGACTGACATCTTTCTCCACACCTTTTTCCATCTACAGCAGGGAATGAAAATCCTTGGCTGAAAATCAGTGGTTTGGATCAATTCATAAAGCTTAGTGTTCATGGTGAAAATATTCCATGCACTAATCCTATGCTCCTTGCTGCTCAGGACTTCAGCTAAGTCTCACAGCCTCTTATGTCCATGCCTTTGAAGTGAATTGCCCAGTAAAACAGATGGTCACAGTTTTCTACCTCTTAGACTTCAGCAGCTTGCCTCAAGAAACAGCATTTAAGCAATCATGCACTGTTGGAAAGGGCAAACCCAAGATCGTATTCTTTAGCCTTATGGCGAAAGTACTTTCCTTTCTACTTTAGTTTTCAACTGCCAATATCAAAGCAAACATATACAAAGCTCACAGATCATCTCCCTTATGATTGCCTGTGGATTACTACTACCCAACCCTTGTTTCCTTGGAGCTTTGCATAGGTTCATACCGTTAGAAATCAGATGTTGAAAGAACCCCCATTAGAAGTGATAACGTATTCATTTTACTCTGATGCAAGGGTATAAGAGATTCAATAGTCCAAACAAACAGGGCTTGTCAATAAAACTGATAATTGATTTACTCTGGTACTGTAGAATTCTGTCAGTTTTTCCATACTTTTGGCTATTTATTCCACAACTTCGTACTTGTAAAGGAGCTGTTAAATTTAATTGTGAAAAATAGGATACCTAATTGTTCAGAGAATCAACATCCAAACAGTAATTAGTAGATGCAAATCCTGATCACCATTACTAAGGTTCTTATTTCAATTTATAGATTCTATGTGCTAATATCATTACACCCACTGGGTTTCTCAAAAGATTAACATTTTTTCTTCCAAAACACATTTGTCTTCTGTTAAATGCATTTATTAACAATGACTGAAATGTTAACATTTCCTGCTCTCACTTCTGCTTCATTTCATTGGAGTTGCTGTCATGGAACATTTCCTTTAAAAGCTCAGCTGCTCAGTATAAGCAGGCAAATATATAATTTTTCTTTTAATGTAGGGGTAACACCCTGATATTTTCCTTAAGAAAGACATCGTGATATTTGTAAGACTGAATAATTTCAGCTGTTTAACTGAATAACTTTAACTTTTTTTTTTATAAATAAGAGCCAGAAATGTGCCCTGTGGAATTTGAGCACAGGATGAAGAAGAAATACTTTTTATGTATTTTAATTTTCATCGCAACAGCTGTAAAACATTTGCTGTAAGGAAGCAAATTCTACAACTGACCTATACTTTTCATACAAAGAAGAAGGTGAGCCTGAAGGTTCCAGCTTGGCTTTCTGCAAAAACAAAACATGGAAATCAAATGCGCCATTCTGATCTCACTTGAAACAAATTCTCTTGCAGAATATTTATTCAGGTTTGCTCTATTATGCAGACACTGAACTGTGAGAGAAAGAGCAAAAAAACAAGAACAGGCTTTTACTACCAAATGTCAATAAATACTGATAGCAGCACATCAGCCAGATGTGCTTCACAGATTCAGAGAAGCTGACAAGTTATGAATGTTTGTCCACTGATTTTTGCAGACATGAACTACTTGTGGGCTCAGTGTGACTACACAGGAAGCTCAAAACTCTTCTCAAAACTGCAAAAGCATGAATCTCATTCACTATTCATATTCATTTGAAACCATTCCCATTATTGTCTTTTTTTTTTTTTTAAATCTTGCTAGAAAAGTATCCAGAAGATGCAGTAAGTTTCACACTAAGTGCTGCAATGTCTCCCACTGCATTGCCAGCTGTGTCACACGTAAAACACCAATCAACTGAAGGGCTAAAAAAAGTCTCCAGGCTCAGGTTTGGCTATATTATTTTCCTTTGTATTCATCACTTGTCTGGTTTCACTTTCTTATTCTCTTTACTGCAGAGAATGGAATTATTTGATGTTTCATCATCTTTAAGCATGTCACATTTTTTTCATCACTGGTGTCAGAGGTGCAGGGCACAGATAACATAATTGGTGACAGAGCCAAAGTTCATTTCCCTTCACTGCAAAAGTACCCTGGAGAAACCCACTGCCAGCAAGGAGCTGATGTTTGTATCAGGTGAAGATACATCATCGTGTCACAGAACCCAGTCTAAGGAAATTTATCTTTCTACTTCATTTCAGAGCGCATTCTGTACCCTGGAAACAGCAACAATTTTCTCTCTAAGTTTTTCAATTCTAATCTGTTAGTCAGAACTTTTCTTTACGAGACCTTAAATCTCCAGTCTTACATTGGAATGAATATTATAAAATGTATTATTCTAAGCAAACATCCAGAAACTTTGTTTTTGCAAACGTGGAGCATTTTCTCTCCAGCAAAATATCAAGTCTAAAGAATTTTGCACTATCAGGATCTGACTTTCCTCAACAACTGCTGAGAAATTCCTCAGCATTAATGAAACTAAAAGGAGAATACTGGTCTCTCCCTCATGACTCCTTCTCAGCTTTGATTCACTGTTTAAATATACTGCATAAATCTACCTTGAAAGATTTGATCATCCTTCATTATATCACTTTGTGAGGTTTCCTTGAAGAGTTTTCTCATTCCCTGTCTGCAGTGGGGATGTGCTACTAAGTTGGAATACACAAGAAACAAGACAGCCCACCAGAGCCAGTCTGTGAGCAGCACAGTGCTCCTCAGGGCAAGGAATACTTGGCACTACTTATTTAGGCTCATCTCGAAGCTAGTCTGGAAGTACCATGTCCGGGTCTTCCTAACATGCCCACTTTTTTCCACGATCTGTACTGACTTGGTTGCTTCTGTATTGGTGGGAAAGGCTAGAGAAATAGGTAACCACAATCTTTAGGTTAGAAAATGTACTTCAGAGTACAAGAGCTGGGCTGAAAGGTCTGAAAAGAGAACAGCGGGACAGAGACTCCAGCACCTCTCTGCCACATCTGGCAGCACTGATCTTTACATCTACACATCATATATCCAGGCCGGACAAACTTTGTGCTGTTAGAAAGTATTAAAAATAATATTTTAAAAAATGAGTGATATTCTGTTATTCAGGTGAACACGGAGTTCATGAAGTGCTGTACATTATCAGCTACCACTG